TTTGTCTTGGCTATGTGGGCTCTTTTTTGGTTGCATATGAAGTTTAAGGTGGTTTTTTCCAATTTTTTGAAGAAAGTCAATGGTAGCTTGATACCATTGAATATTCAATTGGATAGCATTGAATCTATAAGTTACTTTGGGCAGTATGGCCATTTTCACAATACTGATTCTTACTAACTGTTAGCATGGAATGTTTTTCCATTTGTTTGTGCCCTCTCTTATTTCCTTGAGCAGTGGGTTGTAGTTCTCCTTGAAGAGTTCCTTCACATCCCTTGTTAGTTGTATTTCTCAATATTTTATTCTCTTTGCAGCAATTGGGAATGGGAGTTCACTCATGATTTGGCTGTTTGTCTATTACTGATGTATAGGATGCTTGTGATTTCTGCACATTGATTTTGTATCCGGAGACTTTGCTGAAGTTGCTTATCAGCTTAAGGAGATTTTGGACTGAAATGATGGGGTCTTCTAAATATACAATCGTGTTGTCTGCAAATAGAGACAGTTTTACTTCATCTTTACCTATTCGAATACCCTTTATTTCTTTTTCTTGCCTGAATCCCCTGGCCAGAACTTCCAATACTATGTTGAATACGAGTGGTGAGAGAGGAGGCCATCCTTGTCTTGTGCCAGTTTTCAAAGGGAATTCTTCCAGTTTTTGCCCATTCAGTCTGATATTTGCTGTGGGTTTGTCATAAATAGCCCTTATTATTTTGAGATACATTCCACTGATAACTAGTTTATTGAGAGTTTTTAGCATAAAGGGCTGTTGAATTTTGTCAAAGACCTTCTCTGCATTTACTGAGATAATACTGTGGATTTGGCTTTGGTTCTGTTTATGTGATGGATTATCTTTATAGATTTGTGTATGTTGAAATCCTAACACAACTTTCTAACAAGAAAACAAGCTGCTTTATAATATCTGATCCCTACCACCAATATTTTCATTTTAGGGAAGGGGACTTTTCATGCTAATAGATGGAACTGACTGCTGCAATCAATGAAATAGTTAACTGAGTAATTCCAAAGTCTGTTCCAATTCTAACAGTTCAAAAATCAACAAGTGACCTTATAATCTTGGGCCTTCTATATACTTCAAAAGTGGAAGATAAATCAACTTGAAATAGTCTTCTTGGATATTATTTTTTAGGGCTAATTAATATCCATGGAGAAGATTAAAGACATACGTAGCACACCTGTGTCACATCATTTGAACCTTAAAACTAACCTACAGCCATGAAGTCATAGGATACAAGACTATCTAATCAGTGATGACATAGTTGAGAAGGAAACTACAAAACATCTATAAGAGCTGAACATTGGATGTTGGGAGACAATTACAAAGATGGAAGTAGACTGGGAAACACCGATCAGAAGCATGATAACTGACACACACTAAAGCCACATGACACATTAGATACATTTTGATACAAACAATCAAGTAGAAGAAATGTTACTGCCAAGATAAAAACAGAATAATATACTGTTAAAGTACAGATTCATATCAGTGTGATAGGCATGTACTTGTTAGTATCAGCAAGCAATTGTCTTTAGCAAACTTTCTAATATAATCTTTTATAATTAGTGGTGACCTTATAAAGAATATAGGACTATATGTCTTATGCTGTGACAAATCAATTGTAGGAACTTGAGCAAGTCAATTAAGATTTATTGCTTCAGTTTCTTTCTTTGCAAACTGAAATGGGTTGAACTTCAACAATATTTTATTTTCCACAGCGTTCAATGGAACATGCTACACTTGAAGGAAAATACTATGCAATATCTGAATATAGGAAATATGCACTTATATTCCCTAAATCTATAAAAATAAAAGAAAAATCACAAAAAGAGAAGAGGTGTCCATAATCAAATCTATATGAGGGGCTGGGTGTAGTGGCAGAGGCCTGTAATCCCTGCACTTTGGGAGGCTGAGGTGGGCGGATCACATGAGGCCAATGAGAGCAGCCTAGGCAACATGGTGAAACACAGTCTCTCCCCAAAATACAAATATTAGCTGGGCTTGGTGGCAGGTGCCTTTAATCCCAGCTACTTAGGAGGCTGAGGCAGGAGAATTGCTTGAACCCAGGAGGCAGATGTTGCAGTCAGCTGAGATCTCACCACTGCATTCCAGCCTGAGTGACAGAGCAAGACTCTGTCTCAAAAAAAAAAAAAAAAAAAAAAAAAAAAAAAAAAAAAAAAAAAAAAAAAAAAAAAATGTGGGTGTGGGTGTGGGTTTGTGGGTGTGAAAAATAAAGTATGTATATACATATATATGGGAAAAAATAAGACTTTTTAAGTAAAGAGACATTTAAATGTTAATGTTTTTCTCTAAGCATATTTACTTATTTGGCAAATCTGTTTTTCCTGTCCACCTACCCCTTCTATCCTCTCCTCTCTTCTTCCACCTTCTTCTCTTTTCCCTTTCTTTCCCTCCTTCTATTTCTTCTCCCCCTTTCTCCTCCTCATCCTTCTATTTTTGAAACGTATAAACATCTCTCTTTCTCTAAAAAACACTTTGGGAAATTATAGAAATCTCAGTTTCAGAAATAGATGTTATAAAATGTGTTCCAAATCTCTGAAAGAAAGCTCTTTCCCAATGATGAAAATGTATGACTTCAAGATTTCAAACATAGTTTTGAAATTTAAAGTGTTTACTATTGATGAAGCAAATCTAGAAAAAAATCCATTTAGAATGCAGGCATATGCTGAAATACAGCAAACAGATTTATCTACTCTTTCTGTTGCAGAAATGATCTGGGACTTGTTCTTTAATCTTGTAGACACATAGAATACAAGTTTTGCTTGTTCATTTTTAAGTTGATGATAATAGCTAATCACTGCATTGGTTGATTGCTTTATACCAGCCTCTGCTCTCTGTCAGTACTCACAGAAACAGAATGCAGCGGTTTTTCTTGTACTAAAGATGATAAAACTGGGTATTAGAGAGGTTTAGTAATTTGCTCAAGGTCACACACAGTGTCAAAGCTGTGTCTTGAAGCCATGTCAGTATACAGCATCTACTTTTTGCTAATATTTCATACTGCTATTCATGTGTGTTACTCCAGCAACAATTAAAAATAAAAATTAAAAAACCCTCTGGGGTACAAATTACAATATGTAGCTTTATCTTGGAAAGTAATATATACCAAGGAAATTTATTTGATCTTGAAGGCCATAGGAGAATATTGAGTTTATCTCAACACAGTGTAGACTTCATTTCCTCTTCTTGAGACTGGGAACAGCACTGCATTTCTGTATTTTTTAGCGGTAGTTTAATACTTGTCCTCTCTGTCTACATCTCTGCCTTTTGCCTTGATATCACTGAAGTTTCTCACCTAGAGTTTAATTCTTTTCATCTCTTCTGTAGTATATCTTGTCCTTCCTTCAAGGCTCATTTTAGATGTCACCGTTTCCATTGAAATATCCTCCTTTCTTTTAAATATATGTAAATTTGCCTTTTCCTCCAATGTAGACATAGTACTTTTTTCACTGTTTTTATTGATTTCCCAGTATACATGAGGCACATGCTAAATGTAAGATATTTTTTAAGTTAAAAACATGGTCTTGTCTCTCAAGGAAATTAAATTCTTGTGGAGAAATAGACACATAAGAAAAAGCAATAAAATGGCACAATAATTAAGGGGATCATATGATGAATTGCCTAATCTGGGCCATTCTTGAGAGTGAGAGGGACAATTAGTAGTTAGCTTAAACCATAAGCATGACCCAGACTTTCCCAACAAATCCAGGCACATGGTTGGTTACCTTAAAATGGAGCTATGCATGGTGAATATTGTCAAAAACAGGTGAGTGGCAAAGCTGTAGTTGGAAATGGTGACAAGGATCAGGGAAGATTGGACAGGAATGTTTACTACTTTCTGTCTTGTATTACGTTTGTTTATACACACATCTTTTTTTCCCACCAGATTTAAGAACTTTGTAAGAGGGTTCCATCTTCTATTCATCATCTAATTTCCCACAGTGCTCACAAAACAACCACTTGTAAACACTCATTTTATTGTTGAATGGAGGTATTGGTCTCCCTGCTGTGTATCAATGCTTCCTTTCTGCCAGTTTTATAAATGTGCAGTCATCATTCTGAGATACATTTCTACAGTCTGCGCATTTTGACCATCATTTACTCTTTAAATTTATTTCTTTACTTGCCAAGGAAATTTAATTATAATGTATATTATTTAGTTCTTTATAAATTCTGTGAAGTTTTCTTGTTATCAATAAGCTGTACGTGGAAGAAGCGAAAGAGAGCCAGAACAGTAAGTCAACAGATGGTAAGGAAACAATCACTGGAGAAGGCTAGGGGATGGATTATACTGTGTGAGGTGAGGAAAACAATAATAAGTCTACCATTGTCTGAACTCTGGCAGTCACTCAGATAACCTCTTGAAACTAACACTCCCAATTTTTAAACTTGAGAATAATTGCTTGTTTTACCCAATGGGGGAAGACCCAACATTTTGACAAAGAGAGAGGAGATTTGGCCTCCTCATCTTTTTCCAGGTGCCCAGGAGGGATCAGCTACCCTGTTGGGAGAAGCCCACCTTCCCCTCTCTCAGGGTATGAACAAAACCTACTCTGTGGGTAACAAAGCATCCGTCTTTAGGATTCCACAGACATCATACTGAAAGAGGCTGGCAAAGAACTGAGGTTACAGAGAAGAGGTTATTCTGTCAAAATGAAATGTATGCCCTCCAGCAATCAAACCTTGAGCTTGGGCGTCTGGCTCGAGTGTAGACTGAGTTCAAAGCCTGACTGTGTTAATAACTTTTGACAAGTAACTTGACCTCTTTATGTCTTAGTTTTCTCATTTGTAAAATGGCAATATTAGTACTGAACTCATAGAGATGTTGTAAATATTAAAGTATATAAAATGCCCAGCATGTAAGCAACCTAACACTTGGTATAATTATAAATATTATTTATAATTAATGTTCTTAATGCTGCTATGTACTGTCCTAAACATGTTTTCTTGCATTAAAAAAGGAGAACCAGGCCAGGTGCAGTGGCTCATGCCTGTAATCCTAGCACTTTGGGAAGCTGAGGCAGACCGATCATGAGGTCAGGAGTTCGAGACCAGCCTGGCCAATATGGTGAAAGCCGTCTCTACTAAAAATACAAAAATTAGCCTGGCATGGTGGCACATGCCTTTAGTCCCAGCTACCAGGAGGCTGAGGCAGGAGAATCAAGAACTTGGCAGGTGGTGGTTGCAGTGAGCCAAGATCATGCCACTGCACCCTAGCATGGGCAACAGAGCAAGACTTTGTCTCAAAATAATAATAATGATACAACAACAGCAACAACAACAATAATAAGCAGATTCAAGTAGGGAACATACCACCTAGGAATATGTTAATTTGAACAATTCAAACATATTATTTACTAAGTTTTAAGAGAAAGGCTATTGCTCTTTAGTATAATTTTTGATTTTAGAGAAAACATGCTGGGCTTGGTAGTGAAAATAACTATTATAAAATAAGAAATGAAAAAATGTGCTTAAAATGACACTACATGGAAAAACAATTTTTAAAACTTAAGCAAGATAATAGGTTTTTTTTTTTTTTCATTGTGCTCCTTCATGTTTAGAATTCTTTTCACTTTGGAAGTTATAAATACCTTATCCAGTCTTTCAGAATCCGGAGAGCTTTCTTTTTAAAATTATTAGTCTAGGGAGTAAAAGAGTGAAGTAAAACTTGAGTTAATTAATGTCAGATTTTTCACACTCTGAGAGGACAAGAAATTGGTGCATTCCTGTAAATCTAGTAAAATGGCTCTGGGAAGTGAACAGTTTTCCTTTTGAAGATTAAAGGTTAACTTCTCAACAAATTTACTTAGTGGAACCAAGAGGATTAGCTATCAAGTACTATACAATTGATGTTATTCCCCAGTGTTTACATGGATGCTGGGATCACCACTCTTGTGGTGCCTCCAGGTTAAATCCTGTTAAAGTAAATCCCATTGTAACAAAAACATCTGAATAACCAAGAATATCTGGGGCCAGGTGATGGTTCTCTTACTGCAACAACTCACTACAAGGAACTTACAATCCAACTACAGCAATAAAGGAATTTGTGATGATATGACCTATATGTAGCTGCATAATTTAAATAACAAACAGTGGAAAAGCAACAATAAAATAGAATAGTCAAGTTGGATATGGAAACTGTCATTTCCTTGTAAAAAAAAAAAAAAAAAAAAGGCTTCCTTCATTTAGAAGAGCCCAATAGCCATGTTGCTTAATCATTGCCATTCAGGTACAAATTCTGCAAATATGAGTAAAAGGTTTCGATAATGTGACATTGTAAGACACTGGAATCAAATGGCATTAGAAGAGTGTGCTGTTGGCTATAACAAAACAATATCAGAAATCAGTAGTCTTGAGTAAGCATTTTTCAAGAGATGTATAATACAGCTTGAGGCCAACATACTTCTAAAATCAATGTATTAAGAGAATAAAAAATAGATTAAAATAGGAACAGAGAGTAAGTTAGTAACATGAAAACATTATGCAATCTGCTTGAAAAATTGCTATAGTCAACTTACACTAATGGTGGTTTAGAAGACAGAGGAAAAGATAGTCCAACTGAGAGGGTAGAATTGAATACATTTGCTTTGATAATAGAGTCTTTTAAGAATCTTTCAACAATCAAAAAGTATATTCATTTTATCAAATCCTGCACCACGTTAAGTCTTTCCTTACTGCTTATCATCTCTCCTGTAACTTTTCAGTCCTTGGCAGGTAGCCCAACTGGGTGGCTAAAAAGGGGTAGAAATGTCACTAGATAGTCCACTGTTCTTACTTAACAGAAGCCTTCTGAGGATATTCATGCTCTCATTGCCATGTCAAGTAAAAATACCAAAAAAGTTCAATATGTAAAGCAAAACTGCTGCTTTTTTGGCTTGACCAGATGTATCTTCTTGACAAAGGGATGCTGGTATGCAGTGTATTTGTTTAATACAACCTATTCATAATGAAGACACAAGGTGTCTGTGTCAGTACACTTTCATAAGATAACTATTATGAGCATGGGTTAGAATTAATAATATACTTTAAACCCTTGCTATTTAAAGTGTGTCTGCAGATTACCATATGCTCACCTGTGAGCATGTAAGACATGCAAAATGTCAAACCTAAACCCAGACCTACTGAATCAGCATTTTACAAGCATCCCCTCATATTGATGCCAATGGATATTAATTTTTGAAGCCCTGCTCTAATGTCAATAGGCTTTTCTTTGGTCTTAATTAATGTGTGTAAGAATTGTTTGTACCTCACACGTTTGTTTAAGATGTTGATGGTTTGTATTAATATTTAGAAACGTATTCAAATCTTTTTGTGAAATTTATTTTTCTAATTTTTACTTAACCTGTAATTTGAATCACTTGCCTTAAAACTAGTTTAAGTATATCAATATGATTTCAACTTTCTTTCTCTCCTCTTTCAAAGGGTGCAGAATTCTCCCTCCCTCACTCTACCCCACCTCTTGCTTGCTTTTGCACTAACTAGGTACCTGTGACAGTAGCTACCTTGAGGCTGCTTTGTCTACTTTCTGGGGAGTTATAGGTGATTTTAGAAATGGCTTCATGTGCCTCAGCCAGACATACCCGAATGGACCTCTTTTAATTTTTTTTGTAGTTCACTGAGATAAAGTAATGCAGAACAAAGAGATTTTATTTGTGTTCAGATGAATACTTGAAAGAAAATACTTATTTTCTTGATTTTGTCTAAAAATGAAGATTTCAAAAATAAAATTAGTGCTCAAAGAAGTACCTTCATTTGTAAACTCTAAAAATGTTTTGTTGGCTGATTGTTAAATATAAATTCTATATGTTGAAATGTTCATATTTTTACATTGCTAAAGTTACACGGACACATAGTAGAAAGAATAAAAAGATTCAAAATTTCATGTTAAATGTTTCCCCACCTGTGCATTAATCACTTTTTCCCTCTGATAGTTCTTTACTATCTTTTCAGTGTGTTATTTTATACATTGAGTGTATGTCTATCTCTATATACATTCTTAATACAAGGACAGTATAACACATATGCTCTACTGCATTTTGCTTGTTATTATATATAACACGTCTTGGAGATCTGCTGCCATTTTAAATTACTACACAATATTTCATTGCATGTCTGTAACAGTATCACCTGACTTGACCAGTACTTTATTGAACATTCATATTATTTTCAGTCTTTTATTACCAATGAAACGATTCATGTCCTAATGCTTATTTCAGTTTGAAAATGTGCAGTTGTGGGGGAAGGAAAAATTTCTTGGAGTAGAATTGCTAGGATTTGAGTGAATATTTCTTTATCTAGTAGTTACTGTGGATTTGCTTCCTGCTCTTGCTAATCTTCAGGTTGTCTCACTGTCCCCTTTCTTGTACCCTCATTTCACCTGTGTAATCAATTCCCTGTATCAAAGTTCTCTATTTGTAATACCAACCGTGATTTCAGTGTTCTTGCGCAGACCCCAGGTGTTCCCAGTGGCAATGTATTTAAGGAGGGAAATAGGTGCCGTTAAGCAAATTGGGTTGAGAAAATTAGAGAACATTTATGAAAAAATAATGTGATAGCCTATCTAACTCCTTATGCCCAGAATAAAATCCAGATGGGTCAAATGATTTACATTTAAAAACATTTTGTAAAATTGTTACAAGAAATCACAAAGGAAAGATACTTTAAGTATGACAGAAAACTCAGATGTGAAAGACAAGGCAGATAAATAAATGAGATTACATACAAATAAAACTTTCAGGAAACAAAAGCAGAGTAAACAAAATCAAACTGTAAAATATATATTCTTTACAGATAATAGTCTATTTTTTGATATAAAAATATATTACAGGCAGGGAGTGTGTTGGCTCATGCCTATAATCTCAGCACTTTGGGAGGCAGTGGCAAGTGGATCCCCTTAGGTCAGGAGTTTGAGACCAGCCTGGCCAACATGTTAAAACCCCATCTACAAATACAAAAATTAGCC